CGTGTCAATTCCCGTATGGCTTCACACCATCGGGTTAGCCGTAAACCCTGGTCATTTCTCATGACCAGGAGCGCCTCTCACGCCCGTCACATCTCATGACGTTGGCTGTCGCATCTCACGACAATCAAGTATGTATGGCTTCGCACCATAGAATCAGCCGTAAACCCTAGTCATATCGCATGACTAGGAGCGCGTCTCACGTCCGTCACATCTCATGACGTTGGCCGTTGCTTCGCGCAATAATCAAATACCGTATGGCTTCGCACCATAGAATCAACCGTAAACCTTAGTCACATCGCATGACTAGGAGCGCCTCTCACGCCCGTCACATCTCATGACGTTGGCTGTTGCTTCGCTAACAATCAAATCCCATATGGCTTCGCACCATAGGGTTAGCCGTAAACGCTAGTCACATCGCATGACTAGGAGCACCTCTCACGTCCGTCACATCTCATGACGTTGGCCGTTGCTTCGCGCAACAATCGATGCGCTTCACGCGCACGTCACTTCTCGTGACAACCGATGTCACTTCTCATGACCCATCGGAGAATAAAATCCAATCAACATACAATGATTCACTCGGTGTATATCGCACATCGCACCACACATTCAATTTATTAATTTATTCCAATTCTTCTCTTTTACATTTTGTCATGTTCCGTCTCGTTTTTCACATAGTTGATCGATTCCTAGGTTTATATTTCATCCCAATGTCTTTTTGGCTCAATTTCATCACTTTGTAGTTTGGACCGGTCGGTCCGGGCATTTCCGGATCTAGACCGGTCGATCCAGGTCATTTCGGGCATTTCCAGTGTGTTCTGGGTCTAGACCGATCAATCCAGGCCTTTCCGGGGTCTGGACCGATCAGTCGAGGCAATTTCGGACCGTTCCGGCATTTTCAGGGTCTGGACCGATCGGTCCAGAGCCCAGAGACAGATCGCGATTTCGCGATTTCGTCCCAGATTCCGGTCCGACTTCGTTGGCTCATAACTCACTCATTTCTTATCCAAATTGAGTGCCGTTTGTTTCTAAATATTCATTGAAATGTCGTTGTTTGATTCTAATCATCAATTTCTTCAATTATCACACCTATTTTCTGGGTAATGACCCGAAATTGTCGTACTTAGAACGAGTTTTGCGTTTTTCTCTGAAATTTACAATTTTGCTTTGATTTTCAAACTTTCATAACTTACTCATTTCTTAACCAAATCGAGTGCTGTTTGTTTCTAGGTGTTCATTGCAACTTCGACTTTCTAATTATGCCAGGTTCATTGTATCAACACCATAACAACGATGAAAATGAGCTCACACCGAGGCAACTCGAACCACTCACCTTGCTCAGATTCGGATCTGAGTTTTGGCCAGATTTGATGGCGTTTTCCGGCGACTTCTATGACGGCGACCCTCCTAGACCTTCTGGGGTTGGCCCTCTTTGCTCCCACGAGCTCCTTTCCCCTTCCTTCCCTCTCTTTCTTTTCCTTTCTCTCTCTTTCTTCTCTTTTTGTTGGGTTCTTCTTCTGTAGAGAGAAATGGTTGAGGTGCCATCTTTACAGAGGATTTCGATCGGCAAGGAGGAGTCACATGGGCACTAGCTCATTCCCACTGGAAAGCCTGCATCGCGGAGGGTCTGGGGGTGGTCACGACGCATCATTTGGTACCCCAGGCGCTGAAAAAAGTCTGTCTGAAGTCGGTAACTCGAGCTGGATTAGCACATATGTCTGTCGGGCTGGACCGGTCGGTCTGCCTCTTAGACCGTTCGGTCCAGGTGATCTGTTTCCTGTTTTCCACCGTTTTCTCGTCCCTTTCGCACATGGTGACGTCCGGGCCTTTTCCCGGTACCTTATGGCCCATTTTTAAGGTTTTTAAGGCCCGCCGATCGAACTTTTCTCTTTTTTTGCGGAACTAATTAAATATTTGAATCCGGATTTGGGGTATTACAAACTGACTTTTGGTCAACCCCAGACCAATCCTCTTTTCCGAATTACTAACCGCATTTATTTAATTATTTATTCTCGAAAATAATTAAATATTTTTCTTCGGGATCCGGGGTATTACACATGGTCACTCGGTCACATGGTCACATGGTCACTCGGTCACACGGTCACAATATCACACAGTGATATATGGGTAATATTGCTGACATATATTATTTTATTTTGTAGCACATGAAAGAGACGATGTATGAACTCTAAACTCGCATTCTAAAGCATCCTATCACCTACATAGGATACAACTACTTGAAGTGATTTGTCTAGGTAAAGAACAGATATTGTGCCCCTTAATATGCGACGATAATGTCACCCTGATCCGTGAGTAGATGGCAACTGCAATATTTGCCTATGGGAGGGTTCAGAGGTTTCACAAGAAGAAAATGTGAACTTTTATTTTATCAAGTGCTTTGTTAATTTGTTTTAACCCTAATTATGATCTTTTTTTTGTTTGTTTGATAGTATGAACTTTTATTTTTGGTTTTTATTCATTAAAAATCTACACTTATTAATGTTTTTTAGGAAAAAATCTAGGTTGAAATTGTTTTAGGAAAAAATTTGAGTTTAAAATATTAGAGAAAAATATAGGGTTAAATTCAAAGTGGAGAAAAAAATAGGCATCACAAAAAATTCTGCATTTTTTACATGATTTTATGTGAAAATATACTCTACCAAAATATGTTAAATTTTGTTCATAAAATATTGAACTTTTTAATGTTTTACAAAAAATTCTGGGTTAAAAATATTGCAGGTGAAAATTTGGGGTTAAAAATTAGAAAAAAAAAAATATAGGGTTAAGAAGAAAAATATATAGGTTGAATATTCAAACTGGGCCCCACATTAAAAGTAAAAATAGAAACAATAATTGTGGACTCAACAAAACGGAGATATATCCAATCTACTCTTTGACTGCTAGAAGGACTTCTTCCTATACCCTTGAAAATCCAAATTAAAAAAAAAAATGGGGAGAAGTGATGCAAACACCAATTATACCCTCATACTTTTATTAAAAGACCATAAAACCCATTTGAAATTTAAATTAAAAAAACGATTCTCTCTTTCTCTCTCCTACAGCAACCCACGTTCTGCCTCTCTCTCCTCACTCTCGACATTTCCCTCCCTCCCCTAACTCTCGACATTTCCTCCGTTTCTTTCGAAACCGTCGAATTTTCGCCGAAAATATGTGGATTTAAGCTGAGATTTTCCTCTCGTAAGTCTCTGTCTTTACTCTCCTGAGATTCGAAGCACAAAGAAGGAGAAAATGGCTTCTACAACAGTGGTTCACTCATCTTCGTCGCATCTTCGAACGAGACCGATTCTGATGAGGACATGGAGCCGAAGCAAGAGCACTTGGATGCGGAGCACACGGAGCTAGGAGCGAACATGGATCCCTCGGAGCAATCAACCGAAGACCAGCCCTTGGACATGTCAAGTGATCAAGACGTTACACGATCACTTGATCCCGCAAAGCTCGACAACGACCATCACGCGAAGGGTGCCCCACGAGCATACATTAGGACCGAGCCGCCAATCACTCGGGCCAAAACTCGAGCACTTCGTCAACTACTATATGGCGTCGTTGATCAAGTCTTGAGCGGGATACGGGACGAAGACGAGGCCGACGCACCCCGACATGGCCTGCATCACGTCTTCACCATCATGGCCGAACCCTACATGCAAAAGGAAGCTTCTTGAGCTGCAAGCAAAGTCCCAACAACTATATTCTTCCCACCTACCTTATTAAATGCATAGGCTCCTACCCCTCTTGCATGTAGACTTGCATTAATGTAATTCTAGTTGTTGCTACCTACTTAATCCTCTATAAATATGTTGTAAGAACTCATTTGAGATCAGATTTGCTTAATCAAAAGAGTTTATTTTCGAGCTAAAGCTTGCTCTCCTTTCGGTCTGTCCGATTGTCTCTCTTGGTGTGTCCGAGAGCCCTATCTTGGTATGTCCGAGATTACCCTTGGTTTGTCCGAGGTTTCTATCATTCTTTCGATCCATTCTCCATCCATATTCTATCTAGCTTGAATTCGAGAGCCTTGAAAGTGCCGGTGATTGAGCTAGATACCATTTCCACTTCGAAATCCATTGTTAACCCGAGATTGAGTTCGAGTGCCTCCAAGAGAGTGCCGGTGATTGATCTTTGGTTCCATCACTTCATCGAGGTTTCTACTTCGTAGCCGAGGCGTGTATCAGATTCTCAAATCTAAATTGCGGAGTTAAACGACCACATGGTAGGTTACTTCTCTTTTTCTCAGATTTGCATGATTTTGAAAGTTTTTTATATTTCCTTGATGTTTTTCCGTGATGATTCAAAATGATAGAAACTTAGGGTTTTGTATTCGAAATTTTAGGGATAGCATTATGATGTTTGGGTTGAAGTGGTTAAAATCGAAATGATTTGTTGATTTGGGTCACAGTGATATAGGTGACGGGATGTGTGGGTCGATGTTTGGATGATGAATGATATGTTGATTTTGGTCACAATGATATAAGTGTTAGGGTTCGATGTAAATTAGGTCACAGGATCGGTTCGGTCAGATGGTGACTGGTGACTTGGTCATAGTTCACAGGACAATAGGTTACATGGTACCAGGGCAATAGGTCACATGACAATTGGTCACGTGGTACCAGGACAATAGGTCACAGGAGAATAGGTCACATGGTACTATGTGACATGGTCATAGGTTCACAGGACAATAGGTCACATGGTACTATGTGACATGGTCATAGGTTCACAGGACAATAGGTCACATGGTACCAGGACAATAAGTCACAGGTCACAGGAGAATAGGCCACATGATCTAATCTATTTTATTGTTGTGCAGTTGTCGTTTATGTACAAAATGGAAGACATTCAGTTCTCTCCTAAGATAAATTCCGTGTTACCCATCGGACACAATAAAAAAACTGAAAGACTTGTTAAGCCCTGAAGAATGGAGGCATTTCAGTCATGAGTCGCAGTTTCAGCATTTGTTTCACATGCAATTTGATGGCACGCTGAAGATGGCTCCAGCAGCATTCCTGATAAACCATTGTATCATTGTGGATGATGAAAATGAATTATGGTTTGTTCTAAATGGTGTGCCCATTAGATACTCCATAGTTGAACACGCTCTCATATTCGGATTGAAATGCGGTGAGTATCCGGCTGGTTGGGAATATATGAGGAAAATGCAGTTTAGAGTGAAGACTTTTGGAAATCGAAAGGTGTCTAAGGAGAGTGTGATAAGACATCTCGAGAAGACGCCAAATCAAAGGGCTGTTGATAGGAAGAAACTGACTGTTATCATGTTGCTCAGAGAAATACTAGATCATGACACCACAGATGAATTTATAAACCATGATTTGGTGGACATGGTGGATGATTTGGCTTTCTGTGAGAGATTTCCATGGGGACGCTACACATTTGATAGAATAATTGATCAAGTTAGAAAGAGCTTCTGAAGTGGAGGGCCGAAGAAGAAATGGCATTGTCGGGGGTTTATAATCCCTCTTATGGTAAGGGTTTTTTACTATGTGTATAAATGAAAAGTACCGTAATTATATTGATTTGTTTTGGAATTTAATATTTACACAATATGGTACAATTGCTTCCTTTCGAATGCATCTCAAATTTGGGTGCCAACGGGATGTACAAAGACGTCGAGGGAGCGGATCCGACGTGTCCCAGAATGTGCAAGAAATCCATCAAAGCAAATGTCAGATGGAGTTTCAACACTGTTATAGACCAGATTGACACTAAAGCAAATGTACATATAAAATAGGACGGTGTGTTGGTCACAGGTTTCATGGTCACATGATACCATGTAACTCGGTCATATGGTACCATGTAACTCGGTCACATGGTACCATGTACCTCGGTCACATGGTACCATAACCTATTTGGTCACATGGTACTATTTAACTCGGTCCCATGGTACCGTGTAACTCGATCACATGGGACCATGTGACTCAATCACATTGTGACATGATGCATATAGTAACAATAAGTCTCATCTATTTTTCAGGGAATTAAGAGCATTCTTAAGAAGGAACCGACATAAGAAGCTCTTCTTTTTTATGTAGAGGATCTCGATGGAAGTGAAGATCCAACGGTTAAATATGGATGCAATATCTTGAGAGGAATCCGGAGAGTGTATACTGGAAAACAAATCCATGAAATGGAAATTCGTTCTAGAAATTCTTCAAAGAAAAAGAAGAAGGGGAAAAGTTTGGTAGATGAAGATGAAATAGAAGATGAGGGACGAGAAGAAGAAGAAGAAGAAGAAGAATAAGAACAAGAACCACAACAACGACAACAACCACAACAAAGATTCATACCACAACAAGGGATACAAAAGGAAACACAAAGAGTTCACGGAGTGTCAAGTCTCGAAGCACTGAAGACCGATTGAAGACCGATTTCAGGGCCGAAATTAAAGCATCCGAGATGAGAATCATCAATGCTGTGAGAAGGCTTTTAAAGGAGGTTGGACTCCTTGGAAAAGAGGGATTTGTCCCAAGTCCCACAGTGCAGGAGAACCCGGTGACAGATCCGGTGGATAAGGACATATCCACGCCCAGGTCCACAGTGCAAGAGAACCTTAGAAAAAGTCATGTTGCGAAAGAAAGAGTTACGACAAGTCCTTTGATGGGTTATGTCGGTACCGACGAATATTATGATCAAGATGTTGGAGTTTTTGAGTTAAGACCGAGAGATGTGACTCCATTGGAGTCAGAAAAAGAGAAGACAACTGCCCATGATGCATTGGTTACGGAGAAAGAACCATCTCCTAAGGAGAAAGAGGCATCGAGCAAGGAGAAAGAGCCCTCGCCTAAAGAGGTTGATCTTTCTTCCATGGACGCTGAAGCAACAAGTAAGTATTCAAACTTTGTCATTTGGTCATATCGGTCCATACTTGCTTGGTCACATGGGACCATATTTATTTGGTCACATGGTTTAATTAATCTGTGTATATCTTGTTTTTTGTTCAGGAAATGTCTCTGAAGAAGATGCTGAAGAAAATGACAGTGACGATGATGCTGGTGACACTGATGGTGATGAGGGTGAGGCAACCGACGAAGAATCTGAAGAGGATGACGCTGATGGCGAAGAGGGTGAAGGAACCGATGAGGGTGAAGGAACCGAGGAGGGTGAGACAGCCGATGAATCTTCTGACAAAGAATCAGCTGCTAAATCCAATGAAGACACAGATATGTCGGTACCATCTGTTGAACATGAAGTCAATCAACCTCCACCAACAGTTGAATCCTCTGATACACAACAGTTGAAAAGAACAAAAAGGAAGCTTACTGATGAGCCATCCAAAAGAAACCCTTATGTAGAACCAATATCAACTGGTCCACCGGCCAAAAGAACTCGGTCTCAGGCTGTAGAAGGTTGAGGTAGAGGCAGAGATCGAGGCAGAGGCAGAGGCCAAGACAGAGGCAGAGATAAGGGCAGCGGAAGAGGTCAAAGCAAAACTGTCCAGGAGGATGTTACTGAGGAAGATGACGATGATGAAGAAGCTTCTGAGGATGACATTGCTGCGGGAAGAACTGAGAAAGGAATTATGCCTTCGTCGAGTGAAGAAAAGGTATTTGTATGGAATCCAGAGTGTGTCCACCCAAGTGGAGGTCTGATCAGGAATCCAGGATTTGTAGAAGCATCCGGTCCACTCGCCAACACTCTATGGGAGTTTATGAAGAAGCCACGAGAGACACGATTGTGGAAGTCAAAATTGGATGAAATACGTATGTCAAAATTTTGGGAAGATCTTCTACAAGTGGCAGTATGGCTCACAGATACTGTAAGTTTACATTAAGTTATCTTACGTAGCAAGGTCACACGTATCTTGATCACATGGTACCATATCACCTGATCACATGGTATCATGTAAATTTGGTCACATGGCACCATGTAAATTTGGTCACGTGGTACCATGTATATTTGGTCACATGGTACCATGTAAATTTGGTCACATGGTACCAAATGACTCAGTCACACGGTACTATTACACTGAGTCACATGGTACTGACTTCTGAAATATGTTGTTGTTTTTTTGTAGCATATTGAGGAGGCAATGTATGAGTTACGAGTCCGCGTTATAAACAACCCGGTGACCTATATAGGAAGCAATTATATGGTTTGTGACACTATTTTCACGGAGAACATCAAGTGGTGGGAAAAATCAGGTGACTTGTCAACTCTGGGAGATCTTGAGCCGTACTTCAAAGGAAAACTTCCAATTGGGTGTGCAGGAACGCCGTTGATCACTTACAATGGGTTTGTAAGTGTACTTAGCATTCCATCCCTTTCAGACGATCGAATCAGTTGCCATTGGAAAGCCATTCTGGTGGATTTCAATGAGAAATTGCTCCAAGTTTTTGACTGCCAACCGAGACTAAGGGTCAATATGGAGAGTGTAGTTCAGAAACTAAGTCGTCTTATTCCCAAGGCTTGTCTCCTTGTTGGGTCGGATTCTTTCTCTGATGGTGATGAACTGGAGATTGAGTATGTGGAGGGACTACCTGAGAATGCCAATGGCTGTGATTGCGGTGCTTTTGTTGCGAAGTGTGTCGATGCGATGTGCCTTGGGAAAGAACAGATGTTGTGCTCAATGATTTGTGATGCCAACATCTCCATGATCCGTGAGCAATTGGCAGCCTCCATCTTTGCAAATGGCCAAGTTCAGAAGAAGTAGGACTGACTATATTTAATTTCACCTAGATATGACCTTGCTATGTTTTTTTAGAACACTAAGTTATGAATTTTTAATTATGGATTTTTGTTTATTATATGTCTGAATTTCTTTAGTTACACCGTCAACAAAATCTAGATATAAAATGTGTTCTACAAGTGTTGGAGGGAAACAAATTTGGCATGAAAATGTTGGAGGGAAAAAATTTGCTTTAAAAAATTAATGAAATGACGGGTCTCAGGGTTGAATTGTCGACCGTAACATTTCTGAACACTTGGATGACATTGGATCCCACTAAAAATTGTGCAATTTCAACATTGGGTCCCACATTTTTTCGGTCACATGGGATCAAAGTTGGTCACACATGGTCACAAGTGTCGATTCTTTCAATTGAATCGATACGAATGTTGTCACATGTTCCATATAAACCCTTTGTTACTGTTTTCAAGTGTTAAAATAGATTCTTACGAATTTTGTATGTAAAAGTAGTCTTCTCATATGTGTTCCACAAATGTTCATAGTCTTTTATGAAGGATTTTGACATTTTTGGTGGTTTTGTATTATAAGCTACTTATAATGTTTTGTAAAATTATAAAAAAATACTATATTTATATTCTTTATAACTTGTTATAACATACCAAATTTTAAAATACACGTTAAACCCTATATTTACCTTTGTAACTTGGTCACATGTTACATTCGGTCACAATGGTCACATAGTGCAAAATTGACTTTGGTCACATTGGTCACATGCTGGTCACAATGGATCACAATCGGTAGTCATATGCGATGAACTTATTTAATGTTTTTTAATATGTTTACACACACAGAAGTAAATGGAATACAATGAAACAAATAATCGTAGTACACCGAATACAATATAACATTATTATACAATTTTTGTCTTTTGTTTCATTCAAAATTAAGTGTACTCTCACACATTGCTGATGTTGATGCTCCTGTCATGACATAGATCCGTTTCCGTGATTCGCCAGGACCTGGATAGCGATTTTGTTTCGGTCTCCCACTTTTTCGTTGCTCTTCCATTATAGGAGGTAAAACCACATAGTTTGCAACATATGGGTTATCGATGCTCCATTCACAACAATCGGGGACCGGATACACAGTTGTTTCATAAGCGTGACTCCATGATTCACGCAGATAATATGGAGAACACAAGTCTGGTATCATATTTGTTTTCCCAACCTTGTGAAGTGCTACGACTGCGTGACTGCATGGGATCTTATCAATATCAAACACTCTACAACTGCACGATCTATCTCTGATTTTGATCAAGTATTTTGTGTCTTTTCCACTGGTCATCTCAAACTCTTCTGTAATAGAGTTCAATACAATTACCTCATACGTACACGCCATCTCGTAACGCTCATGTAGCACTTTGTCAACATGCAGTGTCAGTTTTTGAGAATCAACGGCACATCTTGCTTCCACTCGACGCCAATCGAACCATTCCACAGTCTTTGAAAGACATATATCAAGCACGCCTAGCACCGGAAATTTTTTGCTTTCTTCAAAACAGAGTTGATCGATTCAGCCCCATTTGTAGTCAACAAGTTGTACCTTTCACGCTTAAATTCACACCTCGCCCATTTCTCAGGATCAAGTTCTTCTTTCTGCATATACTCGGCAACTTTGGGATACCTACAAAAATGAAGACTCATGGTCAGAGATCACATGGTACCCTGTGCCATGATCACATGGTACCATGTGACCATGGTCCCATGGTGCCGTTTCAACATGGTC